ATAGACTGATATGTAGGCAAGCGAGGATTATGTGGTTTAGTAATGGTTTGATATTGTTTGGTTTATTAATAATTCGAACGTGTCTTGGTTTAATTTAAAAACAAAACTTTATGTTTAATGACAGTGGCATTCCTTGGTAATTATTAGGGAAAATTCAGGGTTAAGTACAAAATGTACTTCTGTTTTAATAGATTAGATAGTAATCCAATTTCGGTATTATGACAAGTTAAAAACTGAAAAACCTCTATAAGTAAACGCTGTATACCGAACCGGGGAATTGTACCGGTAAGAGCAAGGAAATCCGGAAAGTGGGCCCTATTATTATCCAGATAGATCCTACGTGGCTACAGAACAGCCGTCGAGATGATTGACTTTAAAAAGGTCAAACCTTGAATCGCATCTCTCTCTCGGCGATAAGGAAACACCAAACCAGACAGGCACAGGGAGCAGGGGAGAATCAGACAGCAGTTGATCTTCGAACTTGCATGTTCTTGTGTGATTGAAAATGAGCTTATCATCTCCAACCAGGTCCGATAAAGTTTCAATTTTTTCTGTTCTTATTTTTAGCTAAATCTAATCAGAGACGATTGAATACAGTGCCTGCAGCTCGTCAAGATGCTACTCCTCGTGCTTATCGTTGCCTTTAGGGTTTCGATCAAATCCCGTCAATGTAGGATTAGCTTCTTACCCAAGAAAACACATTAACTCTCCTCGGAACCTCATCATCGCTTCCTCCTCTTCCTCCTCTTCCTCTTCCGGTTCGTATCTCATTTCTCAAAGATTCATGCTTTGATGAGTCTTACCATAAATGTTGCTGTTTAATAAATCACTCACAGTGAAATGCAGAGTACCAATTGAATTTGTAAACCCTAATGAATCTCTCTCATATGTTAAAAACCAGATCCATTATTGGTTAAAGCTGCTAAAGGGCAAGTTGTGTCACGCCCTCCCGCTTGGATGATGAGACAAGCAGGAAGGTACATGTCTGTCTACAAAAAGCTAGCTCAGAAGCACCCTTCCTTCAGAGAAAGATCAGAGAACACTGATCTCATAGTAGAGATCTCTTTGCAACCCTGGCAAGCTTTTAAACCAGACGGTGTCATCATATTCTCTGACATCCTCACTCCTCTACCCGCATTCGGTGTCCCTTTCGACATCGAAGAAGTTAAAGGCCCTGTGATCCAATCTCCCATCAGAACTGAAGATGATTTGAAGAAGCTTCATCCTATTGATCTTGAGAAGCTTGACTTCGTTGGAGACTCTCTAAAGATTCTGAGACAAGAGGTTGGAGGAGATGCTGCTGTGTTGGGTTTCGTTGGAGCGCCTTGGACTATTGCGACTTATATAGTTGAAGGAGGGACGACTCGGACGTATACGGTTATAAAGAGTATGTGTCATACTGCACCGAATGTGCTGAGAGGTCTTTTGTCTCATTTGACTAAAGCTATTACGGAGTATGTTGTGTACCAAGTTGAGCATGGAGCTCACTGTATACAGATATTTGATTCGTGGGGTGGACAGTTGACTCCGGAGATGTGGGAGCGTTGGTCCAAACCTTACATTGAAGAGGTGTGTAGTTTAAGTGGTTTTCTTTCATCTTGTGGACTTGAAAAGATTCTTAACGTTTTATCTTTTTGGCTAGATTATTCATGCTGTAAAGAGAAAATGTCCAGACACGCCGATTGTTTTTTACATTAATGGAAATGGTGGACTTCTTGAGCGGATGAAAGGAACCGGAGCTGATGTTATTGGACTTGACTGGACTGTAGATATGGCTGATGGAAGGAGGAGACTGGGGAGTGATGTAAGCGTGCAGGGGAATGTTGATCCTGCTTACCTATTCTCTCCGCTTCCTGCTTTAACCGAAGAAATCCAGAGGTAAGGTTGTTTACTTTGATAGTAGTTAGTGCTTATATCCAATTCAAGAAACTGAAAGAAAAAAAAAATGTCTTGTTTTTGTGTCAGAGTTGTGAAAAGTGCTGGACCAAAAGGGCATATACTCAACCTAGGACATGGTGTCTTGGTAGGGACACCAGAAGAAGCGGTGGCTCATTTCTTTGAAACCGCAAGGAGCTTGGATTACAAAACGTTTTTCCAAAACAATGTTCCTGCAGAATCTGAACTGGTTGCTTGAGGTGAAGAATGTTGAATAGACAGGTGAGACACAAGTCCACATGCTGTTTAGTTTTGTGAAGATATGTTTTACATCTCTTGAATTTTGGTGCAGGAATCAGAGAGAGACTTCCGTTTCTGACTCGTAATCTGTCCCAGAGTTGGTAACTTGCTATGAGAACATTCGACGCTGTCCTAGTTTTAACTCTTTAACAGTGTCTTGAGTTAGTTGCTCGTTGAAAATTTTCCCTGTTTTTTTTTTTTTGCTTGATCTTTGTATCTGTTGTATCTTCGACGTAAAACCAACAAGTAATTTCTTTTGTATCATGAATTGAAAAAACAAAAATGCAGAAGAGAACTCTCTGATCACAGTCTGTTAGAAATTGGTCGACTTCTAATTGGATTTTCTAGATTTTACCCGAATTCACTACAAAAGTACAAACGTGTAACGTAATGGGCCTTTTACTTCTTGTGCTATTATGGGCTGAGAACTCATTTTTACATATATTAACCAGTAGGATAGTAGCACATAATGTTAGATAATTGATGCGAATCAAGAAAATAATTAGTTCAGAAGATGCTGAATCTTTGAAAAATTAGGATTGTAAGTCTGTTAGATAATGTTCATATGATGTAAAGTCAAATAAAATCGCAACGTATGAAGTAAAATTTATAATATACTAGTGTATAGTCACTACCATGGCCGTCTCTGTTTGCTTTCGTGAATCATCCCACTTATACTATTTTATCTATTAAAGTTGGCTCACTATAGTCTTGTTCTCCCCAAATGTTCCTGATAAATAATGTTAACTTATCATCTAATACGTCAACGCAATTATCAACCGACACTGACCCCACCCCAGACCATTATGCATAAGAGTTTAGCTATCATTCAATACATTATCCAACTGAACCTTCCTATTTCTTTAACCTAGAAAGGGATCTACAAGACTATAAACTATAGAAAGTTGTTATATTTAATTCAGCATTATTGCTAAATTTCAAATTAAGAAGACGTCATGATTCATAAAATAAAATACAAAAGGGTCAATGATAAATGGTTCGAAACGAATCAGTGTATCCAAGAGCCAATTTTATAATACTGTTTTAAAATTCACAAACTTTTGTTTTCTTGTTAAAAGTTTCATGAAACTTACTATACACATTGATGTTAAGAAAAAAAAGAAACTTACTATACACTTTGTATACTCCACAACAATCTAGATGAGAAGCTCTAATATTTAGATTTTTTGAAACAACTCGTTTTAATCCTACAGTTTGAAACGTATCGGATCTGATTGTGTTAAACTTAGACAACAGCCCAAGTTGGATACAGATCAGATCACAAACTTGGTTGACTTATGTACATCATATAATGACGAATTGAATGATTCGAAATTCAGAATATTCCATTGCTAAGTAATGAGAATACAGAAATACTGGAACATATTTTTTTAATTACTATATAATAAGCGCTGGATAAAATGAATAATTGGTCTTGAAATTTAAGAAGTCAGCTTGATATTGTCTGAAAGTTAGGTTCGCAGTGTGCTTCTTCGTGGATAGACAAAGTGCGCACGAACTCACACGATCTTCTTTTCTGTTTTATAAGCTAAACCATCAATTATTGTATGTTTTACTACCAAAGCTAAGAATTAACCCAAACACACACAAAAGCTGGGATTAAAACTAAACCCTATTAAATCTAGTTCCATGAATCCTTTAATACATTTTACAACTAGGGAACCAAGAGAGAAATTTGTGAGGAAAAATCTTAAGAAATCAAGATCCATTAGGTATTTGATCAGTAAATCTTAAATATCATGTACTTTATGATTGCATTATATTCCTAATCTAAATAATCAATCAAACTACTATCACTGATAGTTTCATCTTCTTAATTTGTAATCTATAATTCTAACGGTCAATACAATTAAACAACCTACAAAACTAATGAAATTTTTTAATTCAGAACGTCTAAGTGTAACTCAGCCCTATAAAAAACTAAAAATCCAGATGCAACCATTGTAAAAACAGATTTGACTGAATATAATTTTACACTCATTACATTTTTGTTTACAAACTAAGTAACAATTTTTTGTTTACCGTATGAAATGGAATGGAGTTAATGAAAAGATTCTTTCATTATGTCATGTAATCTGATTGTAGTAACACTTACAAAAAATGCAGAATATCCGTCAGTATTATTCCTTTTCACTACAAAATAATAAGATGGACTTTACGAATATTGTTTCCACTAGGTAGTGTATTAAAAAAAATTAAGTAATACTCCAATAAAAGGTATAGATTTTTTTTTTTGTTCAAAATAAACATTAAAGGTATGATAAAAGAAAAATAAAAACATGTCTAAAATAGGTACTAATAAAGAAAATAATGAAAAGGTTAAACCTCACTTTCAAAGCGCGCATCTGACGCCTATCGCACTTCCTCTATATATACGGAAGTATACTTTCTCATTAGCACTCATCTCTGAACCTGATTCCACCATCTAATAACCCTTTTCTTGAGTTCAGACCAACTTAAGAGTTCGTTGTCTTCTTAAAGGTTCGTTGTCTCAATAACTAAAACTCTGTTTTAAAAGTTTGATTTTTTTTTTTGACATTGAGTTTTGATCAGTTATAGAATTCCCGATTCCACCGGCGAGATATGTGTATTAATCAACAGATTTTGTTTATATGTCATTTAATAAAAACAAAAATATTTCCTTTTGATCTGATGATTACAGAAGAACTCAAAAAGAGTGTGGAGACCGATTGATCAGCGATCATGGCGGGTCGGAACGTAGAGAAGATGGCATCCATTGATGCACAGCTTCGTCAACTGGTTCCTGCTAAAGTGAGTGAAGACGACAAGCTTATCGAGTACGACGCTCTTCTCCTCGATCGCTTCCTCGACATTCTCCAAGACTTACACGGAGAGGATCTCCGTGAAACGGTACCAAAACTTGAGTTATCTTTAGATTGAATCGATACCCATTTGGTGATATCGCATAAAGTTCAAACCTTTAGAAAAAACATGTTGTAAAGATTGAACCTTTTGTGTGTTTTAAAAAAAAAGATTGAACCTTTTGTTTAGTTATGTTTAGAACTTTAGATTAATCAAAAGCAACCTTCTTGGTAGAACTTATATGTATCTAAAACAAAATAACAAAAACAAAAAAAAAACAAACAAATATTAGTAAAAACAAAAAAAAAACAAAAACTATTATTGTAAAATAAATTTATAAGTAATTTTAACATTTTAAAAAAGTTTAAACTACTAAAAATGACACATATCATTTGGGGTTCTTAGTAGTAGCTAAAAAATGCTCCAATGAGAACTTATATTTGCTTATTTTTTAGTATGAGATACTCCATTAGATGCTACTAATAGAGTTGCTCTAACAGGTTGGTAAAATGGTTTTTAATGTAACAGGTTCAAGAGCTATACGAGCTTTCTGCTGAGTATGAGGGCAAACGTGACCCTAAGAAGCTTGAGGAGCTAGGGAGTGTGCTAACGAGTTTGGATCCTGGTGACTCCATTGTTATCTCCAAGGCCTTCTCCCACATGCTTAACTTGGCTAACTTAGCTGAGGAGGTTCAGATTGCTTACCGACGCAGGATCAAGAAGCTGAAGAAGGGTGATTTCGTTGATGAGAGCTCTGCAACTACTGAGTCTGATATTGAAGAGACTTTCAAGAGGCTTGTTAGTGATCTTGGTAAGTCTCCTGAAGAGATCTTTGATGCTTTGAAGAATCAGACTGTGGATTTGGTTTTGACTGCTCATCCTACTCAGTCTGTGCGTAGATCTCTGCTTCAGAAGCATGGCAGGTTAGTTTTTTTTATTTTACACTTCTAATGAGAGATCACTGAGGCAACTCTTTTTGACCTTTAAAATGCTTTCTCTCAGGATAAGAGACTGTCTTGCTCAACTCTATGCAAAGGACATTACTCCTGATGACAAGCAGGAGCTTGATGAGTCTCTACAAAGAGAGATTCAAGCTGCATTCCGCACAGATGAGATTAGGAGAACGCCTCCAACACCACAAGATGAAATGAGAGCAGGAATGAGCTATTTCCATGAGACAATCTGGAACGGTGTCCCTAAGTTCCTTCGCCGTGTGGACACAGCTCTGAAGAACATTGGGATTGATGAACGCGTTCCTTACAATGCTCCATTGATTCAGTTCTCTTCATGGATGGGCGGTGATCGTGATGGTAATCCAAGGGTCACACCTGAGGTCACTAGAGATGTGTGCTTGTTGGCTAGAATGATGGCTGCAAATCTCTACTATAACCAGATTGAGAATCTCATGTTTGAGGTTTTTAAAATCTCCTTATTTTTACAGTTTTGCTCTTCAACAAGATCCTCTTGATTCATTTTTTTTTTCTTGGCAGTTGTCTATGTGGCGTTGCACTGATGAGTTCCGTGCCAAGGCTGATGAAATCCACAGGAATTCAAGGAGAGATGCTGCTAAACATTACATAGGTTTGTAGCAGTAAACCTTCTTTGGAACTGGTTTTGGTTTCAGCATTCTCAAACCGTTTTTTTTCTCTTGACTGAATGCAGAGTTCTGGAAGACAATTCCACCCACTGAGCCATACCGTGTGATTCTTGGTGATGTGAGGGATAAGCTTTATCACACACGTGAACGCTCTCGTCAGTTACTGAGTAACGGAATCTCTGACATCCCTGTAGAAGCTACTTTCACCAATGTGGAAGAGGTAATAAAACCTTTATGTATACTCTGCTAAATGTTTAGTTTACTAAGTTGTTTGCCTGATTCTAACAACTTGTTATTTGTTCTGTATATGCAGTTCTTGGAGCCTCTTGAGCTCTGTTACCGATCACTATGTGCATGTGGTGACCGTCCAATAGCTGATGGAACCCTTCTTGATTTCTTGAGGCAAGTCTCTACCTTTGGACTCTCCCTTGTGAGGCTTGACATCAGGCAAGAATCTGAACGCCACACCGATGTTTTGGATGCTATCACCAAGCACTTGGACGGTTCCTCCTACAGAGAATGGTCTGAAGAACGTCGCCAAGAATGGCTTCTAGCTGAACTAAGCGGCAAGCGTCCACTATTCGGACCTGATCTTCCCAAAACCGAAGAAATAGCTGATGTCCTGGACACGTTCAAAGTCATATCTGAGCTGCCTTCAGATTGCTTTGGAGCTTACATTATCTCTATGGCAACTTCACCTAGTGATGTCCTTGCCGTTGAGCTTTTACAGCGCGAGTGCCACGTGAAACAGCCACTAAGAGTTGTTCCACTCTTTGAGAAGCTAGCTGATCTAGAAGCAGCTCCTGCAGCTGTTTCAAGACTCTTCTCTCTAGACTGGTACAAGAACCGTATCAACGGTAAACAAGAGGTTATGATTGGTTACTCAGATTCAGGGAAAGACGCAGGGCGTCTCTCAGCTGCTTGGGAGCTATACAAAGCTCAAGAAGAGCTTGTGAAGGTCGCTAAGAAGTATGGAGTGAAGCTAACCATGTTCCATGGCCGTGGTGGCACAGTAGGAAGAGGAGGTGGTCCCACCCATCTTGCTATATTGTCTCAGCCACCAGACACAGTTAATGGCTCATTTAGAGTCACGGTTCAGGGTGAAGTCATTGAGCAATCATTTGGAGAGGAACACTTGTGTTTTAGAACACTTCAGCGTTTCACAGCAGCTACTCTTGAGCATGGAATGAACCCTCCTGTTTCACCAAAACCAGAGTGGCGTGCTTTGCTTGATGAAATGGCGGTTGTTGCAACCGAGGAGTATCGGTCTGTCGTGTTCCAAGAGCCTCGTTTTGTCGAGTACTTCCGCCTTGTAAGTATTCACATTTTCTCTCAAAAGATTTATAGTTCAGAGTGTTATTATAACCGTTTGGTTTTTTGGTTTTGTTAGGCTACACCTGAGCTGGAGTATGGACGTATGAACATAGGAAGCAGACCTTCAAAGCGAAAACCGAGCGGTGGGATTGAATCTCTTAGAGCAATCCCATGGATCTTTGCTTGGACACAAACGAGATTCCACCTTCCTGTATGGTTAGGATTTGGAGCAGCTTTCAAGTATGCAATCAAGAAAGATGTGAGAAACCTCCACGTGCTGCAAGATATGTACCAACACTGGCCGTTTTTCCGAGTCACCATCGATCTTATTGAGATGGTGTTTGCTAAAGGAGACCCTGGGATCGCTGCATTGTATGACAAACTTCTTGTGTCTAAAGATCTATGGGCCTTTGGAGAGAAACTTAGAACCAACTTTGATGAAACCAAGAACCTCATCCTTCAGGTACAAAAACAGAGTCCTCTGTTTCTTAATTCCTTTTACTTGCAGTCCAATTAAAATCTATTTGTTGCAGACTGCTGGGCACAAAGATCTTCTTGAAGGAGACCCTTACTTGAAGCAGAGACTTAGGCTGCGTGACTCTTACATTACAACACTCAACGTTTGTCAAGCCTACACATTGAAGAGAATCCGTGATCCAAACTACAATGTGACTCTGCGACCACACATTTCGAAAGAGATCATGCAATCAAGCAAATCGGCACAAGAGCTCGTTAAGCTTAACCCAACGAGTGAATACGCGCCTGGACTTGAGGACACGCTTATTTTAACCATGAAGGGTATTGCTGCAGGACTGCAAAACACTGGTTAAGTGAGTGAGTGAGTCACTGAGAGAAAGCAGACTTTTGAGTCTCTCTTTTCAGTCTTTTTATAAAAGAATAATCTCTTTTTTAATCGAAAATAATAAGTTGTTAAGGTTGGATTACAGTTTTTACTTTTATCTCTATCCACACCGTTGAGAAAAGTTTTAATCTTCTCATTGTATGAAATTAAAACACTGCTCTGTTGCTGAGACAGTGATCAATCTTAAACTTTTATCTTTTTGTCTTTTTGTTTCTGTTCTGTTTCACAATACCAGAATCGTTTACAGTTGTTGATGTGGTTCCACGACACGTGTAGTTTGCATTTCAAGTCTGAAATGTGGTCCCTGAACATGTTTAATCGAACTAGGCCGTTAAATAATGGAGGTGCGTCCAGAAACGACACAGTTTTTAATTCTGTTTCAAACACACGGCACGTATTTCGTCAACGACTATATATAATTGGTGCTAATTGATTCAGTTAGAAACTTCTTCACTAGCAAATATAACAATATATAGTAGTAGTAAATAAAACATTTCATTTTAAGAGGAAACAACTACGCTCATTGGCTTGTCTTGCGTGTGTAGCAAGAATAAATCATCATCCAATTATTCCCATATGAATAAACATCACCATTATATGATAATGTTTTGTAAGTTTATTCTATTCAGTAAGTCAGGCACCTTTTACTTGATTCACTAAAAAGATAAATAAGAAAAAGTAATTCAACAATATTCTACAGGAAGAATATTTATTCATGACAAAAATGTTTTGACAACATGAATGAATTGTCTCTCTATTTATTTTATATGGTTTAATCACCTACGCAAAATTTTCTCTATGTACACATTAATCTTTAGTAACCGAGCAATGAATGAACCAAATCAGAAGTAATTCTCTAAACCTAACCGCCATAACTCAAGATTATTGACAAGTTTTTCCTCTTCCTGTTTGAGTTTGCTAAAGTCCATAGTGCCTCACTGAAATCTCCAGTGCTTCCTTGCTTGGGCACACTATCTCCTTCATCCGAATCCCAACTTTGTAAATCTTGAACGTTGGCACAACTCTCACTTTCTCTGCAGCACCCACTCCCGGACATTTCTCTATCTCCACCTATTCAAACATCACAAGTAAGTTCTTACTTGTTCACATACATATGTTTATGCTTCTTTTTAAAAATACCTTGAGGAAGTGCAGAGATGGGTAACGAATACATAGTGCGTCCATGAAAATAGATATCTCTTTGCATTGTTGATCAGAGATTTTCATAAAAAGTACAACAGAAACTCCTGCCACCATTGAAGTATACAACAAGTTACTAAGTAATGTTCTACGTAAAGACTTAAACAAGTATAATATATCACTTACCTGGACGTGTCAATGCAGCTTTTAACTCTTCAAGGCTAAAAACCTCCTCAACTTCACCTCCAAACTCCATGTTTAAAACTACTTCTCCACGAGATTTCTTCAATGCAACTTGAGCATGAAAGAAAGATTCAGCTATTTCTCTGTCATAAGATAGTTCCTTTCTCAAGACTTCATAGTCGCTCACTGCTTCAGCCCATCTCTCCAGCTACATTTTTCACAAGAAGAAAGCTTAAAACAAGTAAAACACCACCATATCTATATACTCCCTCTGTTCTTAAATAGATGATGTTTTGAAGAGTTTTTATGTTCCAAAATACATGATGTTTTGATATCTTAATATTAATCTTAGTTTTATTAAAACTGCGTGACCAATTATTTTTGATAGTTTTTTTTTAATAATTGGTTGAATTAATTTTAGTTTATATTTTTATTGTTATTTTAGGAAAGAGAGTATGTTTTAATTCTTGTGCATTCATCCACAACATCAAATATTTTGGAACAAGAGGGATTGATTATATAGATGTTACCTTGCTGTAAGAGGCAGCTCTTTGGCGACGAGCCTTTGTGCAACTCGGTAGAATAAGCAATGCATGGCTACAATCTTCTATTGAGCTCTCCCACATCCCAACTTTGAAGAAACAATCTGCTCTATGACCGAATAAAGTAGCATTATATCGATCAAACTTAAGGCCTTCTGCATAAGCTGCACTTGCTTCAGTGTATCTTTCTGAGCCATAAAGATCGTTACCACGATCACGCGCCCTAACAATCATTTTAACATTTCTATTAAACGTTTCAATTTCACTGTTTCTTGGTTCCATCTCTGAAGCTTTCTCTATAAATGTAACCGCGTTTTCAAACCTGCAAGAATGCATTATCTGCCTTTTACTATGAACATAACAATAAATAAACTAAAATGTCTATAAATATATTACCTTCCTAGAGCCAACTCCATTTGAGATTTTACAAAGTATGTGTAAGCTTCAGAGATCATATCGAAAAACCGAATCTGTGTGAAAGAGGATGGTGATAGTTCTATCTTGGGGGCAGATGCTAGAAATGTTTGAGCCTCATCAAGCCTTAGGAGCTTCATTAGTGCTTCAACTTTACACATAGCTAGCTGCAGATTTGAACATATTTTAAAAATGATTCTTATTCTGATTCTTGAAAAGGTACACACAAAGAATATACCTGAGGGGACATATCAGCACCAGACTCCATTGCTGCACTAACTTCTGTCAAAACAATATTCCATTCACCACGTCTCCTTGCATCTGCACATTTGTTCAAGTGTCTATCAACTTCTTCAAGAACTTTCACCACCATGGGATCTGATGGTTCCTCCACAGAAAAGAAGTGCTTCCCTGCATTATCAACTTGACCTAATCTGCAACCAAAAACAAGACTCAATATCCTTTCTTGATCAAGAATCTATATGCAGTTCAATATACCTAAGAAGCAATGTGGCTAAACGGTGATGAGCTCTTGCAAAATTTGGATCCAATCTAATAGCATGTTCACACTCAACCACAGCTTCAGCAATCCGACCCAAACCAGACAAAGCAGCAGCTCGGTTACTACGGTAAGTGGCATTACTCGGTGAGAGCTCTAACGCTCGGTCATAAAACTTTAAAGCCTCACCGAAACAACCTTTCTTGAACATTTCGTTTCCAAGTCTCTTTACTTCCTCTGGATTATTCGGACTATTCATCACTCTCTTCCATGACGTATCTACCTCAGAGCCACCACCGCTAGAGCAACGGGCGACTACAAGTGCGCCGGAGGAAGAAGAAGAAGAAGAACCAGACGTCGTCATCGTTGTTGGCTTTGCAGGCGTTTGGGAAGAGTAGCTGTTTCCTTTCATGACGCTACCGTAACCGTAGGACTTGGAGCCTGGTCCAAGAACCATGCGTTTTTGAACTCCTTGTGTCATCCCCGTTAAGTGAACCTTCCCAGACGGGAATAGATTCCCTCCGGGAAGGATTTTCACCGGCTGCGGCGGCGGAGTTGAGCTTTTGGTTGATCTTTTAGTACTTGGAGCCGAGTCCGACGCTGAAGAGACACGTCCTGGTCTCGGGTTCAGCCCGGCTTTAGCGCCGGCGGGATTGATCGACCTCGACGGCGCGGCGGAGGAAGTGGTGGACTTAGAAGTTTTAACGGCGGAGGGAATGCTTGTCTTAGAAGATTGACCGGCGGAGGAGGGAGCGGTGGAGTTAGACAATTGCGCGGCGGAGAGATTTGACCGGCCGGAATCGGATTTTGTTGAAACAAGAGTATGACCGGAATGACCTGTTACCGATCCAGAGGAGCTAGAACTGAAACTACTGTTGGAAATAGTGGTTGCGGCAGAGGTGAGTCCACTCGGTTGTGTCTGAAGCGGAGTAATTGGGGATCCGAATTCGACATGAACATTGTCTGTTTTATTGTTTGTCATATTCAGTGATAGCTTATCGGTGATAGTGTCAGGTTCCGACACATGTTTAATAGGCTTCAACATTGTGTCTTTAAAAAAAAAAATGATTACGATAAAAGAAGATGAGATTGATCGTCTAAAAGTTCCTTACTTTCCTTATAGATAACTCTAAAAAAAGAATAGGAAACAAGAGCGATCACCGTCAATGGGCGGAGAAGATTAACGAACATATACTCCGATCAATGCATCGACGGAAGAGGAGAGAGAAGAGAAAGATTTCGATATTTCGATGAAAAAATAAGAGCAATGCAAAAAAGAAAGAAAGAAAGAAAGAATGTGAGAGTGGTTTCTTGAGAGAGAGACAAAGATTCAGAGAAAGAAGAGAGGAAGGAGACGAAGAGCGAGTGAAACAAAAATTAAAAATAAATAATTTTAAAATTCTAATTATTTACTACATCGACTTGTTGGCACACACAAAAATAGAAGTGAGATTTAATTTATTTTCTCAACTGTTCTCTCTTTTCTTCCGCTTTTGAATTGTTGAAAAAGAATAAGAAGAATTTAATTAAATAAAATCTTAACCGTACGAATAAATTTAAGATTTGAGAGAAAAAATCGATAAAGTGTTTTTTTTTATCATTGATTTTCACAAGATTTTGCCTAGTCAAATGAAAACTAATGTACACTATGATCTAAAACTTTTACGCGAAGTATCTAATTTAAGATTTGGTTATTAGCTATTTTTTAATATTTCAAAATCCAAAGTCTTGACTGAATCCTTCTCGTGGATTGCGCTCAAACTCTACTACTAAAAATTAATAATCTACAGTATTTATAAAATCTTAGTTAATTGGCTCGGACCAGGCTCATTTTTATTGTACATATATGTATCTTGTGTTTATCAATCTCGTAGGAATGTTACTAAAAATATTTGGAAGTTACTAAAAATTATAGAATAATCTGCTGTCTTGGCTTTCTTTAATACTGTCTCGTTTTTTTAGAGCATGTATATTAAGGGTTTATAAGGAGTCTATAAGGGGATTCACACGGTTTTTTGAATGAACAGTGATGAACTTCTCTCTCCAAAAATTCATCCCAGTGAATTCCAAGAAGGTGGAGTTCACCACATGTCAAAAAAGAATTGGTTCAATTAATTTTCTTTTTAAAAAAAAATCTGACAAAAAAATAATAATAATAAAATATTACAAAGATGAATCCAAGAGGGGTTCATTGATATAATGCTCTTATTATAATATAGCTATCGTGGGAAGTGACATGCACGCTCCTAAAAGCATGCAGTTGCAGTTCTTAATACTACACAGTATCATTAAGACATTAACCAATTGTCATTAATTTAATTAATTAATCACCAAGTTCGCAAGGAACCAAGGACACAGCCAATATAAGTACTACCATGCATTTATCTATAAACAAATAAAATAAAATAAATACTAGTTTACCATATGTTTAACATAATTTATTTCACGGGATCTTTGTTTCTTCGATTAATATCGAACTTTGTTATGTTTAATTGACCACGCATTTTTTTATCACATTTCTTTGTAGCTCGGCATGTATAGACTGTAAATGTTAACATGTATAAGTGTGACTAATTATTTATTCACAAGGCTCGTCTTGGACGACCTGAAACACAACAAATTTAAATACTCCTTCCGCTTCTTTTTGTATAATATTTTAGATGGTATTTTTGTTCCAGTTTGTATGATGATGTTTTGAAATTTTCTATATGAAACTATTAAAATAACTGATAAAAAGTATTGAAGTTAGTTTTTTTTGTCTTTTTGTCTTATTTGTTCAGAATAACAATGATTAATTATTTTTGGTTATTTTTTGTTGTAATTGAGTGTTTTTAATAAAAATAAAATTCTTATTTTATGTGTTTATTCTAAAACATCATACAAAAAAAAAGAGAGGGAGTATTTGTTACTTTATTTATTGACATTTGGAAGCAATCACCGAGTAAAGTAATCATGATACAAATAGGCTCGTGCAGACATACATGTCTGTGGTGTGAGTTTCCTAGAAACAGAATCCTATAGTATGTAATTATGTATACACGAGGCTGTGGGATGCCGGATGCGTATAGATAATTGAAAAAAAAAACACTATTGGTAAATAATAGACGATGATTATTAACTTGTTTGGTAGGTTCATGCATGGACCTACTTCTGATCATCAAATTATATGTTGGTGGTTGTAAATTGTAATTACTAGTATGTCCAGATTTTCTAGTAAGAGTAGGTACGTACGCATTTAATTAAGCACGCACTTGATTGGCCACGATAATATTCCATCCGAGTCAAACTATATAATTTTCTAACAGAGTCCATACTGATCTAGGTAGACAATTTGCACGAAATCATATAAACTATTCTTACTTTTTCACAGACGTTTTACATGAACATCACTTATAAGTTATAACTATATATAATGATTTGTATGATAGCATAAATTGATTACTTAAATTCGAGATAACTGAAACTAAAGAGTACTGTGTGGTCTGTAAACTTTGTTTTGATGTTTAATTTTGTAGAGACGAAACGCAAACAAAGATGGATGGCATAAACACTTTAGGTTTGTAAACATACATCGCAGCAAACAAAACTAATGGTGTTTGTTCTAATTAATTTGGCATGTCTTCGTCAACTCAACGTTGGAATCCTAACTATGACGCCAGATCAATCATCACTGTCTCTGGTTGACATTGATAACAAGGCGTGGCAGAAGGTAAGTACATGTACGTATTGAATGATTAAAATGTTTTTCTTTTGCCAGAAATGTTTTCTCACCTTTTACTAAAATCAGTTACATTTTTAAAAAAAATTAAAAGGTCAAATCTTTTAGATAAACATAAGTTATGTAGGAGTTACTAGATTTTTTATCGACGTTTAAAAAGCGCGGATACTATTTTTATTGTTTTATCTATAGATAGATTGATAATTCTTTTGCTTTGATGATATAAAATGTTACAAAATCAAGATTAAGTTATTATGCGGGTATGAAGAAATTTTTATTTTATAATGTCTAAGACAATTTTTTATTTTTTTAAATAAATTAACAATGATTGTACTTAAAATGTGTACTTGAAAAAGATTGTATATTTAACAATTAAATGGTCCAATTTTTTTAGTTTTGTGATTAATTCATAAAATCATTTAGTTACAAAATTTCAACCACTCAATCTGACCCGCTCCGTCCAACCCGCTCTGTAATGGGTTGAGTCATTTTTTCGACTGAAAAAATTGACCTGTCTGACCCGCAAAAAACAAATATTTTACAAGAAATATTTTTATAAAATTTGAAAGAGAATCACTCCATTAATGAAACCTATTAGTATACAATTTTTAGATTCAAATAAAAAAGACTAAAAATCATTAAAAAAATTAAATTTGTTCATAATATCAAAGATAATTTAGGATAATATAAATCATTCATCGATGATAATCCTACTCAGTGATAAACTCTCAATAATCTTTTGAACACGTTTATACGAGGATGGTAAGAACAACATTAACACTAGGAGTCTCTTAATCTATGATTCAAACTTTTTCATATCTTAATATCAATTAATATTTACATAAGATATAAATCAATTTTCTTCTATGGTAAAACAAAAGCTTGATCGATTAATACTGTATCATTTTTCCCCTCTTTCCTCATCGATAATGTGAGTTCGAAATTGCAATTAATTCAACTTTATACTTGTACAACAAGGAATGATCCAAAATTTACTAACCCTAGTTTTATAAACCCTAAAAGCCGTTTAAGCGAACGATCAACTATCCACGCTTTTCTGGCATTGCCACCTAAAGTACAGAGCAGAGTAAATGAAAAAAAAAGTCTTGTACAATCTGTGCGAAGCTGCAACTTCAATGGCGGAAGCGTCACCTCGGATCTTCGACCATCAAAGGAGAGAGATATATATAAGAGGTCAGATCACTCATCTTCTGATGGTAAAGTCGGGCTCTTTGAGCAGCTCTCTATCTTGTGAAGCTCCAACATCCTTTTCTCTGGGTTACAAAGCCCTGCACCAGTAAACATATTCAAACCCAAGCTGTGATAAACTCTTGTAGAAATGCATATCTGGATGTATTACTAAAATGTGAGTATCGAACCTGAGCATTTTGGTATATCCCAAACAGCAATGGAGTAGGGTGAGCACTCTCCTTCACAAAGGGTCTTGTGGTTCTCGTGGTTGACGTTCATTGCCAGCATCCACGCACCTATTGTCACGTCCTCGTTGCTAAACATCCTAAAACTGAAGTTTGAAAATATCTCTCTTTATTAAACAACAAGGCTTAACACGCAAAAGACTCTGAATCTGTATAAAGGAACAGAGATCTCTTCAAGAGCGAACCCAAAGTCCTAATAGAAGTGCATATCTCATAGTCATAGTGACTTCAAAACGAAGTAAAACAGGGGAGACATCACTTGCCTGTTATTCTTGAGGGCAACCAAACTGGTGACAACATCAGCAGAAAGAGCATAAATGGGGCCATAAGCATGAAGAAAGTACTCTTTCCCCAGCAAATCTGCCAAAGGTTCATACCTGCAAGATTCAAACCAATTTTCAGGTATACTGAGTCGCAAGAGATGACTCTGTGTTTCAAATCCATATCATATAATAGCTTTCTCAAAAGAAAAGCACGAATTCACATGTTCGGTTGGTTCCTCGTTCATGTCCTTACCATTTTAGCTTTGGATCAGTAAAAACAGGACCTTTTTTCAAGCATCCAAGGTATGTCTGCGAGTGACTCCTCTCTTTAGCCAACAGCAAAGACAAACGATCTATAAAGAAAACAACACCTCCTTAGAAAACTCAGAACCATCCTAAAGACATGTGAAAAAAAAATCAGAGAGAATGAAATCAATCACCTGGCCTCAAATATATATCATCATCAGCTTTAACATAGAACTCTGAATCATACAGAGCGTATGCAGCTTTGAAGAACGCCAAGCTACAGAAAATACAGAGCATATAAAACACCAAGCCTCTCACATTACCAAACAAAACAAGATTTGAATCCAGAGAAAATGTTACTCTCTCTTGAACTAACGTTTTGTATGGTAGCTTACTATACTCCTCCTCTATATCAAGCAGTACAAAATCATCATACTCTGCAATCTCCCTTCTAAGCTCAGCCATCTTCGCTGCATCTTTGGTTTTGCCTATTATAAACCTAATAGCCAATCCTGTTGACTCCTCCAAGCTGCATAGAACAGTAATCTTTCAGTTTAATAATGATTCTTGATCACTGAATTCAGATTCATATCTACACAATTCTATCTAAATTCTCAATCATTCAGATACAAACTTAATCTAGAGATTTGAGAGAGAGAGAGAGGATGAGAATCGTAACCGTCGAAGTCCTTCTGGATCGGACGGCATCCACGTGTCCCTGAGCGCTTTTCTCCGTCCAGCTGATCCGAATCCGGTTTGGATACCGACGAATCCCATCACCTTATGCCTCTTGACTCCGTTGATAACGCCATTACCGTTCCCGTTTCCGGCGACGTCCCAGACGACTTTAACCGTCTTCGGAGGGGAGTTCGTGAGGCAGGTCCGGCCAGGGAAAATAACGGCGGAGAGTCCGAAGAGGAATCCGAATAGTCCGATCGCGAGAGAGGTGAGCACGATCAGAGAGGTTGATCGGCGCGTGGAGGGTGATGTACGCGCGTGGAAGAGTTTCAGCCTCGGAGAAGACGGCATGGTTTGTAACGGAGAGATAACGGATCCAGTTATTCTGATGGTTATTTCGTTTTAACGGTCGTTGGACTTTTTCTGTTTTCTCGCAGATCAGAGATCTCTGTGTGTATGAAAAGGTTATTTTAATGAATTAAACAATTTTCAGAACATTGGTTTATGTATAAGATAAGTTAGGCAGCTGATTTGGCCACATTAAGAAGACTAATGCTAAACAAATAGGGAGTATAAATGAGTCATTAAGTGTTAGTAATGTGCTAATTAATGTCAAATGGAAAACATAAACATCTACCTAAATTCAAAATAGCATTCATGGTGAAAGCGTTTTTGGCCTGGTAATTAATTAAAAAGCGTTTCAACTTGCAAGTTCTTGCTTCTTTTTTTATCGGTAAAAAGATTTTTATTTTAAGTAAAAATCATGATTTATTTTGTTTATTAATTTGTAAACAAAGATTTCAGATCTTTCAGCAGAATGTTTTAAGTGATTTAAAAGAAACAAATGAAAATGTAGAGGATGTCTTAGTCACATGATAATGTCTTAATCATACTTATGATAATACCTTAATCAAGAAGAGTATCATCGTATGATAATGATATATATCTTTTTCTTTACGAAAGCTAAGTTGCTTCGGATCTACTCCAAATCATCAATGTTTGGCTGATTTTAAAGATTATATAAAAATCAAAAATAGAGTGGAAAAAGAAGTGGTAGTGTTTTGTTATTTATCAAAGGCTAATACTAATCAGAGTCTTCTTCAGAGCTATCAGAGTCAAGTTGTTCATCAACACAAAGCAACATCTCATCACTAACATTATTTACTACTTCTACACTACTAACTTGCCTCTCTTCTTCTACAGGTTCAGAGGAGGAAGAAGCTCTTGTCTTCACTTCTTGCTCTCCTTCTGCTGAAACCTTTGACAGTTCCTTCTCTAAACAATCTTCTTTGGTGTTGTTCTCTTGGTCTGGCTTCTCTGCCTCTGAAGCTAGTTCTGTTTCGTTGGTCCCAAGTGGGACTGGTAAGCCCAAGGGAGGCTCATCATCTGATCCTTCTGGAACCATCTGATCGCAGCTCTCAAGTTGGGTCGTCGTGGCAAACCCGGCTTTGTCTAGATCTGCTGCTTTGTTGGGTTTTGAGCACTGGTATAGCGTTTTCTTGAGCAGAACTGTCCCAGGGAACACCATCAAGTTTATTCTTTTGAGAGCTTCGCGTTCTTCATCATCCATGGTTTTGAAGCCAAAACCTTCAGTCCATGTTTCCACTAAACTTGGCAACGCGGCAACAACAAGATTCTCCACTTTGAGTGACATAAGCATCTGCACCACAAAACCAATGAACAGAGCAGAAAGCAGAGCATGAGAAAACTGCAAGTTATGAGTTTATTCTATGACAGCCGAGGAATCAAGAGATATCATGTGAGCTTAAGAGATTATTGAGTAGTATAATTATATGGCTCAGCATAAGGGTGGTCTTGGTACTAAGTTTAGACATTAGTATTAGTTTAGATGGAGCTTAAAGAACATTGACATGGACAAATTCTAAATACTATACCTCTTCGATGGCAGTCACGAGGATTCTACACATTCCCTGACGACGATACTTGCTGCATGTAGCTACAAGAGGCATCTCTGCAATACTTACTCCATGCACCCTGGACATAGCAAAAAGCGTTTTCATATGTAACTCATTTCAACCATGTCAAAATACACTTTCTTGGAGCATGAATTATAAGTTATTCATACTAACCTGATGGATGCTACAGAGATCATCACATCGTTCTTTTCCACGACCACTGTGTAAAACCCATCAAAGTCTAAGCGAACAAATTTTGACCTTTACAAGAGATTCAAAAAGGTAAGAGAGATCGTTAAATATGAAAAGCAGAACCGAAGGTACAATCTCAACACACAGAAACTAACTTCTGCATGGAAATGACATAAGGACGGACGTTACCCCCAGTTGTATAGCACATGAGGTATCATGTCAATACCAGTTCTTGGATCTACCATAGACAAAAAGCATTCCTCCATAATCGATAGAGCAACAGCTAATTTCGAATTGCATTCAGCCTTCAGTGCCAACCTTCGAGCAGAATGAGCCTTTCCATCTTCTTGAAAACATTTCAAAACCGTCCATGACAGACCATCAGCATTAGGATATATGATCCCAACACGAGAATTGAGACCCGTGTGCACCTGCCATTGCAGCTACTTGTTAAGAAACTAGATATTTGCTAGCTGTAACAACTTCTCTTGTTATATGTCAAAGAGACCAAGAATTAGGCATGAGTACTACCTTCTCGCAACTTTTACCACAAAAGTAGGTTTCTGGAAATGGTTCTCTGCGTTTGCTTGTCTCTTTCAGACATGCTCCATGATCTGATAAGATACGTAACAGTTATCAGCCATACTAAAGAAAGAAAAACTGGAGAAGAGCTACGCCTAGCAAATAAACCAACATCTGCAACTGTAACTAATGAACAATGGCATCAATCATGAGAAACATCTCAGTGTGCCATGATTGAAGACAATTCAAACCAGGAGAAGCCATCTTTCACGTGAAAAAAAAAAATGGCTCATGTAATTTATAAGAGTGGGAGAGGTCATTACATTTATGTGCACACTGGGAACACTTAAAATCCTGAGAGAGGTCAGCAGGAGCATTATCACTAACTAACTCTCTGCATACCCAACATGTGCAGCTTGAGCAATACCAACTGCCTTCAGGGAGCACCTGAATATAAAAGAGCAAAAGTAATACATCCATTCTCTTTATTAAGTTGCAAAACTATTTATAAATTTTATATACCACATGTTACCTTCATTGCTAAACAAGCCTGATGGAAGGTAGAAGGGCAATTATCACAGCAGATCAGCTCACCTCCATCACCACAAATGCCACAAGAATCATCATTTGGATCGTTACCATCATAAGCCTCCTCTAATCTCGATCCATTTCTCCGGGCCTTATACTCAGCATACCAAGCTTCCAGCTGACACGAAGCAAAAGGCTTTCCTGATCCCATGAATAGATTAAGACAAGGACACCCCTGGTCGAATCCAGCATGTTTCTTGAACTCAGAAAGTGATATAGTCTTGTTGCAACATGTACAGACCACTCCATCTTTAGTCACGATGCCTGTTTTTACAACAGTGTCATCATCATCTGGATCTCGTAACTGGATTACTTCGTCCCTAGAGATTACTTTGGTAGCTATCAACCATGATAACACAGTTCTTGGACCTAAAGCAGACCAGTTTCCTTGACCAAATTCTTTTTCCCCGTTGCTTGTGCTCCGGGGAAGTAGCCTACACCCTCCCTTATTGTTCTTTTTCTTGGTTCTAGCTTTTGATCTCTGAGCTTTCTTCTTCTGGCTTGATCTGATTGCACATCCACCCTTACCTTTGGTTTTGAAAACGTCATCATCTTGATTACAGTTCTTTCTAGCTTTTTTTCTTCCCTTCTTTGAATTCTTCATCTTATCATTCCTTAACCTCTTATCTTGATTCTCCTCTGAGATGATGTGGATGTTTCCCATATCTTTATCCTGACATTTGAGGCTATTGGAATCCAAGGGAGCTTCTGATACTTTTTTCGATCTTCCGTGTGTCTTCTTTCTCAGAAGAGTTTCATGGATGCCTTCTGCTATCAGTTTTGAAGCTTCAACGACCTTGCTAACCTCCTTACTAACACTGTTATCCTTCTCTTGTCTTGAAGAAGTATTTTTCCTCTCAAGATCAGAATGAATCTCTTGGTTACCATTGTCGTCATAAACAAGAAGACTGCTCTCAGATACTGTCAGCACACTTTCAGGACAGCCTGAGATTAATTTCAGACAAGTTGCATCCTCTTGCTTAAACTTTTCAATAACTGAATTCCTTGCAACTTCAACTTTATTTCCTTTTCTTAAAGAACCAACTTTCTTATCAACGAAGACAGCAGTCACAAAAGGCTCTAAGGTACTCCACCAAAGTGCTCGTGTGTTTGCAAGATCTAACAGTTTCATGTTCTCCTCAATGTCCAACAATGTGAGCGAGAGATCAGACCAAAAGTCATTGATACCTGTCCATTTCTTAGTACCTGAATCCATTAATTTATGACCAGCTAGTAACATCTCCCCTAGTGATCTCCAAGCTGACCCAAATTCACGAAACTTCCGTCCCTGTGAAGATACGTATACAGTTTCCGGGTATTTACTATTAGATCTTGGGCGCTTCTCGATTTTCCATCTGGAAGAAGCTAGCAACTTGCTTATATACTTGTAGAGAAGAGGACGAGGGTCCTCTTTAGGATCAATCTTTAAACAAGTCTCAGACATGGTTAACTCATTAGTAGATACTTTAGGTCCATCCTTTAACTGTAGTTGGAAGTAAGACTTCTCACTATGAGGCGTAGAGAACACTCTGGTCGCAAAGCTCTCCTGAGAGACAGGAGACTCAATTGCCTTTAACTCCTTTCCATCACATTTTTGTGAGATAATGCCACTCAGATAAACCTCTTTCCCCTTCTCTATGCTTTGCTTCAGCAAATAAGAGCTCGTTGAGACGCCCTTGTTAGACGTTTCGACTAAACGGAGAGGTATCATATCTCTGGCGAAATCAGCATTTTCATCCACATTGTTATTACCAGAAAGCTTGGCTCTTTTAGCTTTTGTGTAAACTTCTGAACCATCCTTAGAAGCAGATGACGGGTCAGAGCCTTCAAGGCATGCATATCCACTTGTGACCACAGAGTTGTCATTGTTTGAACTCAGCGAGGAGTTGACATTGTTACTGGGATCACACTCGAAGGTAATGGCTCCAGTAACAAGACATCTTTTAGTAGTAGCCTTTCCGGAATCACTTGGAAAGAAAACTTCCCTGAATATCTGATGCTCTTCATACGACCCTTCAAAGCTATCATCTTCTGACATCTCGACCTCAGCTTCGGTATGCATCTCTACAAACTAACTGCATGCACCATTTCACCAAGGGGGAAGGTAGTAGTTACCTGTGATTATAGAATTTAATAGTGATAAAACTCATAATCAAAAATTTGGCAGGAAAAAATAAGGAAACTAGAATTGGTTGAAACATGAATCAAACAAGTCATTTTTCTATTTTGGCTTAAGGGTGAGAGATATAAAAAGCAAGTCTACTTATTTCCTTCAAGATCACTGGAAACCTACAAATCAATTTCTCAGAATCAAACAAAATCGAGGAAGAGAACAATTGCATAACAAAAAAGCTAACGAGAGCAGATACACAGAGATTCAAACCTAGAAAGGCCAAACCTTTAAGAATAGTAAAAACCAATAGAGACCAGATTTGAGATGCTTCCTAAGGCTAATTAGACCGAACAAGAGCTCAAAAAGGGGGCAAATGTGAATAAGGTTACCAGCATGCAGAAGAAGGGATCAAATGGTTATCTGAATCTGACATTTGGGGGGTTGTATTCCTCAAAGAATGCTAAAAAAAAAAAATCTCAGTGCCTCATGAAAAGTCTCGAACCCCAATCTTCTCTCTGTCTCTTCTTCTCTCAGCAAGTGGAGGAACGCATTTTTCAATTTCACGTTCTCTGCACTCACTCTCTCACACACTCTCTCTCTCTCTCCTGGATCTCTCTCTCACACACAGATTTGGTTATGACTGTGTCTTGTCTCTTTGATTATTATTTTTGGTGTTAGCTTTTCTATAAAATCGGAAGAACCCAAATCCTCAAAAAGGCCATTGGATGGAATTGGATTAACGGACTTCACCTCTGAATCTGCCTCATTTATCACTTTCTACAGTTTCCACTTACCATTGGCTATTCTTTCTCTCTCTCTCTCTCTCTCTTTTTTTCTTTTTAATATTTTCTTTATTTTACCAAACAGGCTTCATAACTTTATTTTGGAGATATTAGTGCAAAATTAAAAACTGGTTTCGTTATAAAACCCCTATTTTCTTGTTTGACTATGGTTTTAGTTGGTGACCATGGTTTTTTTGGGCACATCTCCCATTTAATTAACAGAAGATTTGAAGAAGAAAAACGGTGATACATAAATTATCAGGTTTCTAACGTTTTTATAATTTTAAATCAAATATGAAAAAGTGATGTATACAAAATTTTCAGTTATGTTAAGTAGAAGAAATAATCTTTCAATCAATAAGCGAGGATAAATGTTGTTAATAGCAAAGTTGTTAGAAAATAAAATAAAATATGAAGTTATCGAATATGCAGTAAAGAATACGACTTTCTAAAATGAAGAAAAATATTCAACGACAACTCAGTTTGTTCATAGCTAAGAAATATACCAAAAAAATGTTTGTTTAAGATAATAAAAAATATGAATTATAAAAGAAATGGATTTGGCAAAAGAGACATGTTATATTGGAACTCATTATGGTCAATCAGCTTAAGCAAAACACATTACCTGACAATCATATAAAATAAAATATAACAAACTAGAACCATAGCAGCATAAGAACCAAAACAAATGTATCACTTATGTTCCTCCTAAACTCACTAACCTCAAACAGAACTTGTATAAAGAAGTCAATTTTTTTCTAAATATAAATGCATTGAGTTTTAAAAACCAGTCAGAGAAAACTATAATCTTATAGCAAAAAAAAATATTTAAATAATTGGTGAATTATTAATGATTTAAAGATTTAAGTGTTTGTTTAAGATAATAAAAAAAATAAAAATTATATAAGAAATAAATCATCAAAAACTAACAAAAAAGTATAAAGAAAAAGAAATATGGCATAGATTCATGAGAAGAAGAACTGAAGATTTGATTTATTGTTTGGAATGAATCTGATGAGTAATTCCTTGTTATTGATAGTCTAACAATAAAATTTGTATTTGTTTAGATTTAGATTAATTCTATGTGCCTCGTTTATCACTTTCTACTATATTCATCAGCTAATTTTTCTTTCATTTTTTATTTTCTCTTTGTTTATGTTTATTTTACCAAAAAAAAAAATTCTATAAAATCTTCATTTTTCACCATAAGATTATGTCTCCTTCAACAGAATGGTTATATACATATGTGGGAGATCCTCATACTTATGTCTAGAATTAGAAACTCAGTTTTTGCTATTAAAATATTACATATATTTTCACAATTATTCAAATCATTATAGTATAAAGAGTTCTAATGAATTTTTCATTTTTTAAAAAAGTATATAACACTATTCTACTATAATGATTTGGTTAGAAAAATTCATTAGAACTCTTTATAAAATTAACAAATATGTTGGTTTTTAAAACCAGCTAACTCTCCCTAAATTCATCTCTTACTAATCCTCTTGAAAGTTATTGTATTTGCAGTAAAGATTCTAACTTTCTAAGATGAAGAAAAATCTTCAGTCACAATTCATTTTGCTGCTAGCCAAGAAATATATAGAAAAAGTGTTTGGTACAAGATGTTAAAAAATATAAATAATAATTAAAAAGGAAATCAATGGCCACAGAGATCATAATACATTAGAACTCATTATAGTCAATTAGCTTAAGCAAAGCACATCATGTGACAGTCATATGAAGCAACATGTAACAAACTAGCATCATAGCAGCATTAGAACCAAAACAAATTTACCAGTTATGTTCCCTCTTTTTTTTCAAGACAATCCAATTATGTTTCTCCTAAAGTCAAAAACGTCGATGAGAATTTTTTTTAGAAGGGTGAATTTTTTTCTAAATATAAATGCATGGAGTTTTAAAAATGAGTTAGAGAAAAAGATAACCTTAGAACCAAAATGATTTATAAATTTTGAACAGCTTAAACAAAAAGATTCAAAAATTTGGAACACCATAAGCAATAAGATTTGGTGAACGAAAAAATAAATTCAACCACAACTCAATTTGATGTTGACCGATAGAAATGCACAAAATATGTTTCATTACAATATGATGATAAATATGAAACCAGAGCGTAACAGTCGGAAGTCTGATGGTTATGACGCCAGTCCCAATGATAAATTTGCTCCGAGTGGTGAGATTCAAAACCAGGAAACTTCATGGGGACATAATTAAGAAGTCTTTAGCGAATCGTTTTTTGGAAGAGGAGGAACAAGCTTTTGCTGAGTTTATGCATAACTTGCGCAATGAGAATGATATGGAGAAGGAGCAAGATAAACCAAAGAAAGGTACTCCTAGCATTGGGTATAAACTCTTGAAACAAATGGGGTATAAAGATGGAAAAGGCTTAGGAAAACAAGAAGATGGATAGTAGAGCCTTTCGTGGGTACACAATTACCAAAGCGCATGGGGTTGGATGATGATATCCGTTTCATAAAGGACAATCCGCAGAGCAAGCTGAAAGGTAAGAATATTGACCCTGTGGTGATCTATTAAGAGACTTAAGTTGATAATAATATTGACTCTATGGTAGATTTCACAAATTTACATATTTCTAGTGACTTAATTGTTTTTTTTTTTGTTTTAATATTGATTTCAGGGAAAGTTGTGCCTAAGAGCATCCGCATTTGAGGTTCAAAGGCGGATCATGGGCTCGAGTTCTTAGGCCGCTTGATTAAAAAAATGGAAATTGGGTTTATTGCCGTGAACCGGGCCTTGGTGATGAACCCGCAAGAGAGGAGTTGAAGCCACACGTCGTGTTCTCACTGGCTTCTCGATTCGGCGCATAGGACAAAAAATAAGGGTTTTCGCGTAAGTCGGCTCATTTCTCTCCTCTTTCCAAAAGCTAAGGTTTTTTTTCTCTGCGGCGAATTCTCGTGCGACGCCGAATCTCTTCCCTTTTCTCGATCTAATATACGACAAAGTGTCTTCTCGACGACCAGATGTTAGTATCGAGTAGAGTCACGGTCAAATAGATTTTATTTTGTGGCTAGATAGCGATTTGTGCAATTCGAAATCGATTTGGGATTTTGAGTAAGGGTTCACAATCGATATGGGGGTTTTGTTTAAGGGTTGTATATCGTGTAGTTGGTTTGATTTAAGGTTTTCATTATCGTCTTCCTGGTTAGATTTACGGTTTGTTTATCGTCGATCTGAAATCGAGTTTGCATGTCTGTAGAAATGGATCTCGCGGAAGAGAGAAGACAATCTAAGAAGCAAAAAGAAGAGTACAACATGTTAGGCTTCATGGCCGATTCTCAATTCGGGATTCCTCGAACCTGTCCATGTGGAGGGAGAATTATCAACGAGGTTGAGGGGAAAGAGGCGTATGATACTTTTCCTGGAAAGCGTTTTTTCACATGCGTGAACTACGAGGTATAACTTTAAGTCTCGAACTAAATTTATTTTCCATTTATGTGTTTTTGATGTATGTCTATGTTGTAATCAAGGATGACGGATTCAATTATCGTCATCCTTGGGTCATTGGTGTCCATGAGGAGACCGAAACTCTGATTAAGCGGATGGACGAGGCTGAGAAGTTGATCAAAGGAGTGTCTAATCTAAAAATCTAGATTCTGAAACTGGAGGTTTGTGTAGTTTCATTGGTTTTTATTTCTGTAAAATTATAGTTATGTTGCTAACACTGTTTTGTTTATGTTTCCATGTTTAGGAACAGGTGAAAACTCTATCTGGACAGGTTGATTGTCTCACAGTGCAGGTAGCTGATCTGGAGAAGGCCAGCTTCGAATGAAAATGAAAGGTAATCCTCAACTAAACTTTGTGTGTTCACAAAATGTTTGCGTTATTTGAAATGTAGAAGTTGTTTGAAATTTTTTCGAAAACTGCTTCGGTTTCTACTTAATTTATCATTTTTCAAAACTAAATTGAAGTAAAGCAAACTGCTTCGGTTTCTTCGAACAAATTTGTAAAGTAAATTGAATTTTTGGTAGGTAGAGTTAATTGTTCAATCCTTTTAATGTTTGGTGGTTGTGTAATGACTGCTCTATCCTAGTTTGAGAAGTTTGTTCGAGAAAGAGTTAATTGTTCAATCGTAGGTAGAGTTAAACCAAACTAAACCAAAAAAGTTAAGCAAACTGATTTGATGTGTAATGACTGCTCTTTGTACTAAGTGGTTGTGTAATAGCTTCTACAATGAATGTTTGGTAGGTATAGTTAATTGTTCTATCGTATCAATTTTAAACTAGTTTAAAAACATATGAAATCCTCTTGGTTGAATACCAGCAAGGACCCCATTGTCAGTAATGAGCAGAAGGCAGACTCGTTTTGGAAGAGAATAGAGGAGTACTTCAACTCAAGCCTTCAGCTAAGTGGGTTTGTTCCAAGAGGGTGGAGTACATGTAAGCAGAGGTGGGGAAGGGTTAATGAGCAGGTATGCAAGTTTGTGGGATGTCATGAAGCCATTTTGAAGGACCAAGGGAGTGGCCAGAATGAGAATGATGTCATGAACCGTGCACATGACATCTTCTTAAACGACAATAAGATAAGGTTCAGTCTAGAATATTGTTGGAGGGAACTAAGGTTTGAGCAGAAATGGAATCACACGCCTTGAGCAGAGATGGGCCGAAGGAGAAAATGAAAGAAGCTGCAGAGGTGGTGGTTGAGGACGAAGAGGTAAGACCTCCTGGTGTTAAGGCTAGCGAAGCAGCCAAACGCAAGAAACACAGCAAAGAAGCAGCTTTTGATCAAATAGAGACCATTCTAGCAGTAAAAAATAACATATCCAAACAAAAAATCATGGAACGTCTCCTAGCCAAGAAAGAAGAAACACTTTCTGATATAGAAGTGTCTCGCAAGAACAAATTAGTGGCTGAAATGCTTTGATTTGGTAGGTTAATTATATTTAAGTGTCTTGTTTGTTTTACTTGACTGATATGTTCTTCATTTAAAAGTGTCTTGTTTGTTTTACTTGACTGATATGTTCGGTTTTGTTATGGTTGCAGGTCAATGGAT